TAGTTCAAAATTTTCACTTTGTAAATAAGAACAAAGCTATTACGATTTCGTAAACATATAAGAATTTGTTTCATTAAACGTATGCATCACCTCTTTGGTAATATTTTCTTTGGCATCCATTTTTTCAGAAATGTATTACCACCGAATTTAACAAACTGAAATGTGACAAGGCAGTGGAACAGAATAACTCGTGTTCTTATATTGTATTTGTATTTTTTCGTTAGCGATTAACATGTACAGTAGCTCCAAAAAGTCTACATACAGTATCGAAAATTAAGGTTTCTCTTATTAAAGACTCCATTTATGGGTTGGGCTCTAACGGTCTAAAAATATTTATCATAAAAAACGACTTAAGATAAGGTTATAAGCGAAAAATATATTTAAATCCAATAAAAGACCAAAAAAAGTCTACATACAGCATCACTAGAAGGTTCGAAAGAAAACATTTTTATTTTACGATCCTTAGTTTTTTGAACGTATATATAATAATAATTTATCAATTAAAGTGAATTTCTTTTCACTAAAATGTCGCAAAATATACAAAAACGCAAAGAGAAAAAGAAAAAATCGTAAAAGACGAATACCAACACAATTCCAATTAGTTAATTAGAAAAAATTCCAATGACACATCTACCACAGAAAATAAGCACCAGCGACCAGGCGCACTAACCGAACCTGACAGGGCGAAATATTATTAGAATTGTAACAAATGAACCCAAAAACAAAAATTATGTAGGCTTTTACATGCCCCTGATCACATTTTATTTGTCTGTCCGAATGTTCCTGCTTCTATTCGCCGTTCCACACTTCGCAAATTGTCTGCATGTCGTCTTCATGATGATGATCGCAGCTTTCTAGACATTGTACGTCACGCAAATTAGCGGCCTACACCGCTATCTTCTTTTTTTTTTAAAGCTTGTCATCAGGACAGATAAATGTTTACAGCTAAATAATGAGTCTACTCTTTCAATTTTCAGCTATTCCCTACAATACTTCTATACACACGTACTTCGTCACATCTCATACTACGAAATTCACTCTACGCAGTATCATCTTGTAATTCTTTGAAAAAGGAAGATAATCCAAGAACGTTTCCTTCAAAAGTCGAGATATAAAATAAAACAAAATAATTAATTTGAAACGCGGGGAAATGAATATTAATTCCAGTTACTTGACGGATGTCATAACACGTATTTATGTATATATCTGTACACAAATCATTTATCAACTTTACTAAGTTTCACATAAAGAACTCAGTGTTTGTATTGAAACTTTTTTTCACAGCACTTCAAATATCGGGTCGATAGATGATGTAAATTGTATCATTCATACGCATTCGTTGATCAGTTTGTTGACGCAAAGACAGAACAGTGCCAAGGCAAATGACTATGTGGCCTTTGTTGTTAACAATGATTTAATGGAAATTTAATGAAATTTTTACTGAAATAATTTTTTTTTTTTTTTTTGTTTGGGGAGTAGAACTATGAGATCCCTTTGGGTGAACATAGATGTACCGAAACCCTCACCTGTTTATTGTTCTCCCTATAAACGTTGACTGTTGCTTTTTGTGATTCTCACTTTCGAGAGCTGCACAGTTCAACGGAAAAGAAGGGTTTAAAGTTTACTATCTGTAATCTGGCGACGGGTTTTTCTCTTGGATGCCTAAGAGGTGTATCGGAAGAGGGCTGTCTTTTCTAATGAAAAGAGAGTATTCATTTTCATTTTTTTTTCTATTTTCTCGAGGACATCAAACGTATGGTGGCCAGTGATATTGAAGAGGGCTGGTGCACAGTTGGGTGTGTGCTGTGTAATGACAAACTTGTAACCATTATTTCCTCGAGTAACGATAGTGTTTGGATGGCCTTCTGGAACGTGTGGTGTTGTCGAAAGGCAAGAGTGGCTTCGACGGCGTACAGTACGATATCACCTAAAACTGTATAGCATAGCGTATGTTCTATAATAGCACGATAATTCATGGAGTCATGTTCATGGGGGTCAGGTTCCCCAAAAGTGAGATTGCTCCTGGTACGAAAATGCACTACCCATCTGACCACCGGGATGAGTTTCTTCCTTCCTAACTGCTGGGTACGGTTCTTCGGGGAGTGTTGTGGTGGCTGAATTTACCCCGAAGTTTCGTGGGGAACTAACCAAGAGGTGTTTAAATAGGCCCCGACACATACCAGTAAGCAAGAAAATGGCTCACACCCATTCTCTATTTCGGTACCTCAGGGCCTTACGACTCTTTCAATGGGGATTGTCCTAACTCATGTGCCGTTAGGTTAGACCGTCAAGGTAGAAACCCGACGCAAAACCATATGAGGAGTCTGGAATCATTGTAGAGGCTTCCTATTTACTTTATTTATTTCAGATAACAATCCAAATGCAGTTAGAAGCTTATTGTCTTACAAAGAATGTATGACGGAGAATTTATTTTATTGGATACGTAACTCGTCGATACAAACGCTTTTACCACGACAACAGGTTGTGGTATTTTATCTCTTTATTGTAATTAAATGTTTAGTGCACAAATAGCTCCCATACCGTGACTTGTTATTGGATTTGTTTAATTTCGAACCAGTGTTAACCCAACAGAACTTTGCGCATCATGTAGCCACGTGTAGCACCATTTGTTTGTGGACGAGTAGGCACCTCATGTTCTATACACTTGGATGAACATAAATATTGCAGCAACGGAACACGATATTTGCCGCAAAAGTCGACAAATTTTATGTGCTCCACGCGATTATCAAAGAAAACGCCTTTACACTGAGGGTTAACGCAACAATTGGCGCAAGACAAATAATCGAGAATTGTCTGCGGTAAGTCTCCGGGCTCTACCGACACAGCAGCCGTTTTCACGATTCGCGCAGCTAACTCCATTAAAGTCGGAGGATTTAACGACATGTCCTGAACGAAACGTACCACCAGAGGGTTGTCACGTAAACTGAGCTGTAAAAATAATGTTTTTGATTATATCAATCATAATATCGCGAATATTATTCTATATCTTGCCTCCGCTAGATTTTTTAAGGCAACTATATCTTTAGGTAAATGCTTTAAACGGTTTTTATGCAATAGGAGCGATTTGAGATTTTTGAGCCGCGCTATGCTGGTGGGTAAATTTTCTATAAGATTGTCGCATAACACTAAAGCTTGCAATTGACTAAGTAAGCCCACTGTATCGGGAACATCAGTAAGAAGATTGCCGCCAACAGAAAGCACTTGAAGACTGGAAAATTGAATAAAAAGAAATGAGAAAACAAATATTTTTAAGTAAGATTGTCTTTAAGACGAAACTTTAATACCTATCAACTTACAATAAACAATGTAAAATAATTTATTAATTATAAATTGATCGATTGAGACCATCTTGTTGATTGATTTTGCAGAGGGAAATATTTCTCATTCTAGGAAACATTTCCATTTAGTTTTATTACAATATTTATTCTACGTATTTCTGTCTTTGATCCTGTATCGATCATCAATCTCTAATCGTTCACGAAGATTGTAAATGTAAAAAGACGCAAAACTTCAGTTTTCCATCTTATTTTTCGCGACCCCTAACATTTCAACAGACTAGATATAGAAAAATGGGTGGGTAGAACTCAATTGATGTAAGATCTTGATAAAATAGGTGGGTATGAAAAGGATTCGATTTTCTAGAAAACGAAACGATGTATGATGCTTTACATTCCGTCGATCCCGTGAAAGTATTTGCCAAAAACCGCTTGTCAGGACTACAAGCCATGTAAGGCCAAAAAATTATTTCGCTTTGCTTATGAATACATTCACGAAAATAGCAAACAGTTTTAGTGATTAAGGCGAGACTTTTACGCTGTCATATGCAGCAATTGCGGCAGTCTAACATATTCAAAGCATGACACTCGCGTACAAATTGGGGAAAACGTATCCGAAAAGTCATGAAAGTGTGTTTGCAGCATAAGCCAATACAATACGTCGGATGCATTATTTCGTCGCTCGAGAAAAAACAAAAACCCGCTGTAAGCCAGCCAAACCGCTTTGTCTTGCTTGGTAGCAGCAATATTTTCAAAAATGTAAAACATTGAAAAAATAGAATAATGGAGCGGGAGAAGCGTTATGCTATAGTTACTAATTTTTCCATTGATCATAATAAGAATATAAATGGATGGTAAAATCAATTTCACAACTTCACGTGATAGCATAAATCTCTCTGATGGAGTAACATAGTTAACATATACTGGCAGTACACACATTAAACGTTAGTGAAGTAGTGATTATGTGAACATAAATAAAAATCTTCATTGGTTTTGGGCTGACTCATGAATTTGTCTTTTGAATTTGGTTTGTTTTTTCGGTCAATGTTTCAGACAAACTGTAGAATATTTCTAAAGCTTTATCCGTAAGGCGCGTTATTGGAAACTGAGATTAATTCAAATTGAAAGAAAAAAACTCGAACTAAAATCTCCAATCACTTGAAAGCGTATTTTTTTTATAGCCACCATTTCGTCTGAACATCTAAAATTTTCCTTTGTTATTATTAACGTCATTTCGATCTGTGTTGTTTTTTGCAATCGAAATTAAATTTAAGGAGAAAATGTCTCACGTCTCGATTTCCTATTCGACTTTTTGAATACATTTCGAAATATATTGTGATATGGTTGAATACATATATATATATATATATATAATCGTATCTCGATGTTACAAAGAAAATAGCAAAGTTAGCGTATTCTCGTACTTAAATTAACAATGATTTGTAAAGTAAAGCAAACAGGGGAAAAGATGCGAACAAAGCGGACTTTTAGTGCTACTTAGGTTAGTGATGACCCTTAACGGGAAAGATTATCAAATCCATACAGACATAATTATCAAAACTTACGTCAACTTAGGTAAATATTTACGTAGTTTTATTTAGAATTTGGTAAACATTATTTGCATTCACGCTTTCTTATATTCATACCTTTGCATCCGCCAGATATCTTTGCTAATGCTGCAAATTTGATTGCCGCCCACATATAAGTAGCGTAAGTTCTTCAACTCAGTTACTTGTTCGGGGAAGTGCGTCAACATATTGCCGCTTAGATTTAATTCTTTCAGCGATGAAATTTGATTTTTGATAATGAACGATTTCGGCAATGATTTATTGGTTAATTGATTATTTTTGGCGACCAAGGTAATCAAAGGTAATTGCCCTATGATATCCGGCAATTCTCTTAAACAATTTGAACTTAAATCTAATACACGTAGGCTTAAAAAGTTTCGTAGGGTTCTTGGCAATCGTGTTAAACGGTTATGATTGAGCAAAAGAATTTCAATGTCTTTGATTGACTTTATTGATATCTTGGCGTCAGAGTGCAAATCATCTTCCAAATTTATATCGATCAAGTTCATGCGGCCGTAATCCAAAGTTTTCTGTTCACGCGAATCGGTGTCACTGCTGTCTGTTGTGTAAACTTCCATTTTTTGTTTTTTTTTTTTTTTTTGTTTTATTTATTCTATTTGATTTTTTGTATGCTTGAAACTTTTTGCTAAACTCGCTTTTGCCGCCTTCACTTTGGGCTATTGATTTCGTACAGAAAATGAAATGAGAGATTTTTTCACTTATTCATGTATCCGTTGCTCAAGCGTTTATTTAACAAGACTCCATAAAGAATACTGAAAATATTTGCGCTCTCTGCGCTCTAGGATAGCTGCATGCTCATGTTGATAAAGCAAATAAAAACTTAGACTGTGATCTGAATTTAAATCAACAGAGGAGGCTAATCGTATTACGTATGTGTATGTATAACAACTTAACAAAGCGATTGTTAAATTTAAGCTTCGGAGTCATTAAAAAACTGATTGTTATCGCATTTCTAGCTTCTAAATATATATTATAGCATTACCTACTCTCGTATCGTATCTCGTACCGTATTTCTTATCAACAACACATCGTCTGTCGCTGCTGTACATTAAGTATAGTATACACACTCATGTATGTGCAGCACTGCATTGAGCAGCCAAGAGCCAATAAGCTATTGAAACTAAAGACTGAATCAGCTCATCTCTCTTTGGGTTCCCTTTTTGGAGATTTGTTATAAAATAATCACTCACTTGCCAGTTGCCGACC